GTGGCTGCCAACCGCCATCTTGGCTGGTAGTTAATTTGCATATTGCCCTGATTAGCCAATGGGAAGGGTAGCGGAGGTATGGCTAATTACCATGTTTCTCTTTTATTAGTGTTCTCACTAGGTTCCTTAAAATTCTCATTAAGTTCCTTGAGCATATTTATACCCACTGTTTTGAACTCAGTATCTGGTATTTTGCTTGTTGCCATTTCCTTTAGTTCTTTTTCTGGAGATTTCTTTTGTTTCTTTTTTGTTTGTTGGCTTGTTTGTTTGTTTTTCATTTGCGACATGTTTCTTTGTCTGCATATTGGCTGCTTCCCTGTGTTTGCTTCTATTTACTAAATAGAGCTGCTATGTCTCCTGGAATTAGTAGAGTGACCTTATGTAGTAGATGTCCTGTAGGGCCCAGTGGCTCAGCCTCTCCCATTACCTGACCTGGGAACTCTAGGTATGCCCCTGTGTGGGCTGTGTGCCCTATCCTATGGTAATTGAGCCTTGATTGATGTTGGCATCACTGGGAGGGACAGGCCAATCAGCTGTGCAGACCAGCTGCAATTACAGAAGAAGAGCTGCTGTGTTAGAGACACCCCTGTGCAGCAGGACTTGCTTCAATGGGGCTTTAATGCTCACTAAGTATTCCCTTTGAGTTTGTCACTTGTGGATGTGGTAGGGTTGTAATCTGGTATTGTCTGAAGCTGACTGCCAGATGTACTGGCTCTGGGGCCTCCCTGGAGGTGCAAAGTCAGCTATTGCTTATGCTCTGCCTGAAGCCACCCCACACAAGTTACAGAATGATCTGCAGATGGCTGCTACTTTTGTTGGGTTTGGAGGTGCCCAGGAGAGGCAAAGCTGTGAATCAACACAAGCTGCTGCTAGTGCTGGACTTGGGACCAGTTAACAAGAAGTATGGACACCCTGAGGCCAGCTTCTCCTTTTCTAAGAGATTTTAGGAGAGTCTGAAGCCTAACCCAGGACAGGCCATTCATATGGAAAAGACACTGCAAACAGCTCAGGCAGGGCTGAAGATTGAGTGGGATGGGGTTTCTTGGAGTCACCAGGAAAGGTGAAAAGTGTGGGCCAGGTTGATGGAGTCTCAGATATGGCGACTGCTTGTCAACTCTCTGGTGGGGAGGTCTCAGCAAAGGAACAATGGCCTCTGTCAGCACTTTTTCTGGGAGAAAGCTGTCCCCCATTTTTGCTCTGATGCCAGAAAATTTAGTCCCTCCCTGTATGTCCTTGGATTCTTTCAAGCTGCTGCCCCCCTCTGGAGCTCAGAGGGAGTGAGTCCAAGTAAGTCCATGCACCAGCCCTTTAAGAGTAATTGCCTGGGACTTCAGCAACCTTCTGTACCACAATCCCTTCTGGTTTTTACAGGCTGAAGTTATGAGAACTTGTCTTCCCAGCACTGGAACCCTGGGCTGGGGGTCTGGCAAGGGTGGGACCCTTTGCTCCTCACAGGAGCCTCCATAATCAAGATATTTCTCCTGATTTAAAAAAAAAAGTCACACATGGGTGTCAGACCAATTTATTCCACACGCCTGGCCCTCCTACTAGTCTCAGTGTGGCTTCTTCTTTAATTCTGTAGTTGCCAGATTTCAGGTGGTTCAGAATGATAGTTTTTATTTGGTTTAGTTGTAATTTTTATGTGGTTGTGGGAGGATGTGAGTACTGCATTTTCCTACACTGCCATTTTTTCCCCTTCTTGTTCTTCTTTTTATTCTTGTTCTTATTCTTTAAAAGAAAAATAAAAAACTTTAACATTTCTTGTAATACTGGTTTGATAGTGATGAATTCACATTATCTTTTTCTTGCCTGGGAAGCTTGTTATCTGTCCTTTGAGTCTGAATGATAGTTTTACTGGGTAGATTAATCTTGGTTATAGGTCCTTACTTTTCATCACTTTGAATACTTCTTGCCAATCCCTTTTTACCTGTGAAATTTCTGATGAGAAATCAGCTGAAAGTCTTATGGCAGTGCCCTGGTAGGTAACTAATGGCTTTTCCCTTGCTAGTTTTAAGATTCTCTCTTTATCTTTAACCTTTGGCATTTTAATTATGATGTGTCTTGGTGGGGTCTCTTTGGGTTTGACTTGTTTGAGACTATCTGCGTTCCTAGACTTGTATGTATCTCTTTTACCAGGTTAGGAGAGTTTTTTGATATTATATTTTGAAATAGGTTTTCAATTTCTTGCTCTCTCTCTCTTCTCCTTTCAATATCCCCATGATGCGAATGTTGGTATGCTTGAAATTGTCCCAGAGGCTCCTTACACTATCCTCATTTTTTTGGGATCTTTTTTCTTTTTGCTCTTCTTATTGGATGTTTTCTGCTCCCTTATCTTCCAAATTGCTGATTTGATTCTATGCTTCATCTATACAACTGTTGATTTTCTGTAATTTTTTTTAATCCTCACCTGAGGATATTTTTCTATTGATTTTTAGAGAGAGTGGAAGAGAGAGGGAAAGACAGAGAGAAATATCAATGTGAGAGAAAAACATCGATTGGTTTCCTCCTGCAATTGCACCGACCCAGGCCCGGGCTGGGGAGGATCTGCAACTGAGGTATGTGCCCTTGACTGGAATCGAATCCTGGACCCTTCAGTCTGAAGGCCAACACTCTATCCACTGATTTTAGCTGGCTAGGACTAATATATTTTTTATTTCAGTTACTGTATTCTTCATTTTGGACTGGTTCTTTTTTATGGTTTCTATCTCCTTTATTATGCTGTTGAAGTGCTCACTGAGATCATTGAGCATCCTTATAAGCATTGTTTTGAACTCTGTATCTGGTATTTTGCTTGCTGCCATTTCGTTCAGTTTTTTTCTGGAGATTTCTCCTGTTCTTTCATTTGGAAACTGTTTCTTTGTCTCCTCATTTTTGGCTGCTTCCATGTGTTTGTTTCTATGTATTAGGTATAGCTGCTATGTCTCCCAGTCTTGGTAGAATGGCCTTATGTAGTAGATATTCTGTAGGCCCCAATGGCATAGCCTCCCACGTCACCTGATCTGGGTGCTCCACTTGCACACCCCTCCCCCCCACACACACACCTTATGTTGGCTGTGTGCACTCATTATAGATGAGTCCTGATTGCTGTTGGTACCTCACTGGTAGAAATTGATCCATAGGCAGATTGACTTAAGGACTGGCTTAGACTGTAGCAGAGAAGCTACTGTGCAAGAAATGATCCCAGGACTAGCTTCAGTGGAACTTTGGTGCCTGGCCATGTCTGCGCATTGAGTGTGTCGCTTATGGAGATGGTTGAGTTGTAACCTGGTATGATATGAAGCTGTTCACTTGATACACTACTGGCTCTGGGGCCTCCTAGGAGGTCCAGGCTAACCACTGCCTGTGCCTGGCCCCGGGCCACCGGGTATAAGCTACAGAGCAATCTGCAAATGGCTGCTACTTGTGTTGGACTTGGAAGTGCCCAAGAGAGGCCAAGCTGTAAACTGAGGCTGGCTCCCTCTACTGCCATGCCTGGGGCCACCTAGCAAGAGATATGAGGTATGCAGAGGCTAGATACTGCTTATTTAAGAGATTTTTGGAAAATCCAAAGAATGAGCCAATAAATTGCATTTGTATGGAAAGGCCAAAGGAAGTAGCTTGGATGGGCCCACCAGCTGGGTGGGGCCAGGTCTCAGTGAATCACCACAGCCAGGCAAACAGTGTTAACCAGGTTAATGGAGACTCAGATATGGTGCCTGCTATGTGTGTGTGTGTGGGAGGGGGGGGGGGCGGGGAGGTGGCGCTGCTCAAAAAGGAAACAATGGTCTCTACCAGCAATTCTCTCTAGAAGAAAACTGTTTTCCTGCCCTCATCCTGAAGTCAGAAAATTTAGTTCCTTCCTGTATATCCCTGGTGCCTTTTGAATTGCTGCCCAGTGCTGGAGCTCAGACGGAGTGAGTCCAAGTTCATACATGGGCCCTTTAAGAGGAACACCTGGGCCCTGGTTGGGTAGCTCAGTTGGTTAGAGCATCATCCCAATACACCCAGGTTGTGGGTTTAATCCCTGGCTGGGGCACATATAAGAATTTACCAATGAATACATAAATAAGTGGAACAACAAATGCTGCTGCTCTCTCTCTCTCAAAATCAATAAAATTAAGCAATTAAAAAATAATATAAAAGTTATAATTAAGAGAAACACTGTGGACTCCAGCAACCATCCATCTTACTCAGCTACCATCCCTACTGGTTTTTACAGCTAGAAGTAATGAGGCCTTCTCTTCTCAGCACTGGAACCCATGGTTAGGGTGCCTGGTGTGGGACTGCGATGCCTCCCTCCTCAGGGGGAACCTCTCTGCAGCCAAGATATCTCTCCCAATTTTTACCTGTTACATGTGTGTATGAGATCAGCCATTCTGTGTCTTCGTCCTTCCTACTAGTCTTGATGTAGGTTTTTCTTTATCTCCTAAGTTATAGGGTTTCTGTTTGGCTAGATTTCAGGTGGTTTTGAATAATGGTTTTCTGTAGTTTAGTAGTAATTTCAATGTGGTTGTGTGAGTATGTTTACCTATGCCACCATTAATTCTAGGGTTGTTTGTTTGTCTGTTAGTTTGTTAATCCTCACCCAAGGATATTTTTCCAATGGTTTTTAGAGAGAGTGGAAGGGACAGGGAGAGAAAGAGAGAAACATCAATGTGAGAGACAAATCTATTAGTTGCCTCCTATACTTGTCCCAACCAGAGCTAGGGATCAAGCTTGCAATCAAGGTAATGCCCTTGACCAGGATTGAACCTAGAACCCTTCAGTCTGCAAGCTGATGCTCTATCCACTGAGATAAATCAGCTAGGGCTAATTCTAGTTTTTAAATAAATTTATATAGTAATCTGAACCTTGCTAAAGATTTTAATAATCAATTCCCCTAAAATGTTCCAAAACTGGTCTATATCGATAGGAATATATATAGTCTCTTTCTTTTCCTTTTCTCACCTAACTTACGGTGGAATAATCCTCATTTTAGATATTTAATCAGCTGGACAACAAAATATTGGATTACCAATGAGAATGCTATACTGCTCAAAATCAGGCTTGTTTTAGGATTATCTGGTAAATTTTCTCTAAATTTGAATTGCCTAAGCTTTATGAAACAGACTTCTAAAATCTAAAAATTATACCATAGGGATGTAAACTATAGCATAGAGAACATATTTAATAGTATTGGAATAACCATGCATGGTGCCAGGTGAGTACTAGAAATATCAGGGGGAACACTTGGTAAAGTATATGATTATCTATTCTAACCACTATGCTCTACATGTGAAACTAGTACAAAATAATATTGAATGTAAAATATAATTGAAAAATATAAAATCTCAAAATTATACCAGTCCAAGCACATTAATAGATCACATATTTCTTCTGAGAATCATCTTGACCCTGCCCTCAGATATTCATGCAATCTATCTTCCTAAGGAGGTGGGATGGTTCTCCATTGACTTTAGAATATGTCTATGTGTCACTGCTTAACTGGGGTTCCAGGCTCCTGACTCCTTACCTAGACATCCACACCATATGTAGGTGGTTGAGATATGCATCAGAGTAGATAGAAAATCTATATGTATCTATCTATACTAATAAAGGCTAATATGCTAATTAGACCAGACGTCTTATGGACATCCTTCCGGACAAAGCCATGGTGGTGGGGCTGAGACAAAGTTGGTTAGGGGTGATCAGGCCAGCAGGGGAGAGCAGTTAGGGGGATCAGGCCTGTAGGGGAGAGCATTTAGGGTATTCAGGCCAGCAGGGAAGAGCAGTTAGGGGGATCAGGCCACAGAAGAGAGCGGTTAGAGGGATCAGGCTGGCAGGGGAGAGCAGTTAGGGTGATCAGGCCAGCAGGGGAGTAGTTAGAGGCATCAGGCAGGCAGGCAGAGTGGTTAGGGGTGATAGGCAAGCAAGCATAGTGGTTAGGGATGAACAGCCAGGCAGGTGAGTGGTTAGGAGCCAGTGGTCCCAGATTGTGAAAGGGATGTCCCCCAAGGGGTCCCAGATTGGAGAGGGTGCAGGCCAGGCTGAGGGACCACCTTCGTGCACGAATTTCATGCACAGAGCCTCTAGTATATTCTAGTCTAATAAAAGAGAAACATTCAAATTGACAGCACCTCCACTACGCCCCCACACCACGCCCACCAGCCAATCAGAGCGACTATATGCAAATTAACCCAACCAAGATGGCGGCCAGCAGCCACGGAGCTGGAGCAAGCAGGAGGCTTGGTTGCCCCAGTGAAGGAGGAAGCCAAGCTTCCTGCCTGCCCTGAGCTCCGCTCATGGCAACAAAGTTTCAATTATAGAAGACAAATAAATCCCAGATACCTGCTTCCA